CAAAATTAGCTCTTCAAGAAGTTTGGACTTGCCTTGGTCTTTGAGCAAAGATTTGATTCTCCCAATGTATCCAATATGAGAGAGATTTGGACTTTCCAAGTTTATTGCAAAGATTACAGGGCACCTTGCTATTTAAAACAAGGACTCAGCTCAGATCTTCCACTCAGATCTTGTGTCTGCTTGGCTTGGCCTCTTCTCCATGAACTAGAGTGTGTTATTTGCAAAATATATTCACAATTGGCTAAAGGATTTGTTTAGTGAGATTAATCATTTCAAACGCTGAGTGCCCATTCCAGACTTTATGCTAACTGCTTTATGTAGATCCTAATTCTGGTAGAAATCTAAGAGTATCAGTTATCCATTTTAAAGTATTGAGAACCAGACCAAAACCAGCTTTCAACAAGCTCTCCTCCCAGGTGACCTGAGATGTAATACAGAGCAGAATGTAATACATCTCACTAAGAATGCTGTCAGCAGGTGTCATGAGCCACCAGTCAAACAGGTCATGATCTAAGTTTACTACTTAAATCCTTCCTTTCACACATGAGCTTGTTTTCAATTATGTAATAACAAAGAAATACACCCAAACCCTATTGTCCTTATTTCCCAGAAAACAGGCCAGTTTATTTTTATATTTAATTGAAAAGCTGAATTAACCTTAATCATTAATGCAACGCTCTAATGGGGGACTAGATGAGCAAGTCGTTATGGAATATCTCGGTCCTGGTGTATGAAAATCTGCTAAAGATTGAGTCAGAAGACAGTGACAGATCCAGGATTGTACAAAGTGTGGCTTATTAAAATCTTATGACAGAAGCATGTCTTAGGTGGTAGCAAGTGGGTCTCTACACTCCAAGGTAGTAGAAAGGAATTTATAGTAGACAAGACAAAGGTGAGTGAAGGCCAGCCATAATGTATTTGCCCTTTCTTTAAAAACAAAACAAAAAAAATAGTTGAGGAACAGTTTACAGTTAGATGGCTCAGAGGTCAAGGTGCTTGTTGCCAGAATGGACATCTGAGTTTGAAATCCAGGTCTCCCATGGTGAAAGAATCGAACTGACTCCTCACAGCTGCTTGTCCTCTGACTTGCACGCATGTGTGTGCGTGCACACACACACACACACACACACACACACACACACCACTAAAAAAAAAAAAAAAGTCTTGGCATTAGTGGCCAATGCAACACTGTTTGGCTAATTTTTTTGTCCTGTAGGATTTGAGATGCATGTCAGAATCACCAATGGACAACATGACGATTACAATAAAGATGGCTGCAGTCACGTCAAGCTCAGTCTTTACACACACACAAATACAGTTTGTTACTCAAGACATCCCCAGTACAATTTTCTATTCAAATATACGTTGGTTATTTGTAAGAACTGTCTATCTTGAGGTTAAATCTTATTTTCAGGAATTATTTTTGTTTAATGATTTATATTTTGAGAATTTAATTCTGTATTTACGTAATTTCTACCACTCCCTCTCCTCCCTCCAGCTTCTTTCATGTTCTAACTCCCTCCCAATTCATAACACTTTGATTACTGCTGTGACTGGAAGTGTTTTATTGTCTCTATTAAATTCCATGAAAACACATAGGCTGTCTTATCCACCTTAGATCTAGTACATATGTTTCAAATACAGGAGTTAGCAACTTATAATTAGAAGCCAAACTTAACTAAATTCCTTTAAGTTTCCATTTTCAAGATGAAAGAATCCCATTGTCAAGATATTTCCATAAATCAGCAGATATTTACATAAATCAAAACCTGAGTCCTTTTAGTGTTGCTTGTACATACACATGTTTAGAGATGACCATGGTAGATTGGATATCAGGAGACATATCCCTAGAGAAAATGGATGCTCTTTTAGGAAGCAGCCTTGATTGTTTTTTAGCTCTTCATCTAGGGGGTGCCTTATGAAATTTCCCCATCCACATTTGCATATCAATTGGTATGGTCATGCAGGTCTTCTTTATGTGGTTATACTGCAACTTCATGTATGCAGATTCCCTGTTATGTATATAAGACACCATCTCACAGCAGACGTCCTTCCTTGTCCTCTGGCTCTTACAATCTTTTCACCCTTCTTGCATGATGTTCCCTGGGCCCTAGGTATAGCGATCACATTGTATATGCACCAATTTAGATTGGTAACCCCCATGATCACTTATTTTCTGTATTTTGACCAGTTGGGGATCATTGTGGTAGTCTTCATTTGCTATAGACAGAGTCTTTGATGAGGGGTAACAGCTACACTTAACCTGTGGGTTTAAGTATTTAGAATTACAGGTAAGGAATTATATCGGTTTGGGAAAAAGGTTCTTCTTGGTTGCCTTCAAGAGCTTGAAGATAAAGATGCTACTGATGACAAAGCCATAGGACTTTGGACATAGGACTTGGTGGAATTTAGGTTCTCCTTTTTCCTAAAAATTAGTAGGTTCTCCTCTAGGATTTATGACTTCTCCAGCCATGGGTAGCTGGATAGGTTTACAGTACCAGGTGTGAGTTCCCTACTATTGAGTGGATCCTAAGAACAATTAGACAACTATTGCTTAATCCCCACAATGAGGTAGAAGTGCCACTATTGCACCCTTAAGGATGCCATGCTGGTCATTATTATGGTCTTGAAGGCTTTATAGATGGGTAGGACCATTGCTTTCTCCCTTGGCATCTTGCATAGCACCTTCTGACATTGGGAGAGATAGCCCTCAGGAAGTCTCTAGGTCAGCACAGCTCAATTCCACCTAGCCCTATGTCTAAAGCACATGTTGTCGTCATCATTAGTGTCTTAGCTTCAAGCCTACACGATAGTGGGAGTCTCTTGCACTCCCCTAATCCAGACTTGAAGGGAAGTGTCCTGTGTTTGGCACCGGAATTTTTCGTTAGTCTGTGGCTCTTGAGGGGATCATTCACATCGTTTGTGATGACCCCACCTAGCATCCCCTTCCACCAGAACCGTTTTCTCATTTTTATTAAATTCCATGGAGACAGGACACCAGATTTGTTGTCTTGTTCACTTCAGATCTAATACATACAATGTCTCAAGTATAGCAGGAGTTAGCAACTTTCTATAAAAAAAATTGTAAACCAAACTAACAAAACTAAATTCCTTTCAGTTTCTTTTCTTTTCTTTTTAAGGTGAAAGAAACCCATTGTCAAGATTTTTTTTTTAAAGTGAAAGAATTTAAGGTGAAATCTGTTTTTTAAAAAAAGCAGACAAAATCTTTTTAAATGAATACAAATCTGCTTGATACAACGTATCTTAAAGCATCGTGGCTGCAACATTAGATTTCATTTGTTTTCTGTGGCAGTAAAACAATATATTCCCACACCGGACATGCTCTGGGGAGTACAACCAAATTATCAGCCTGACAAAAAATAATGTGTTGTCCCAAAAGGTGATAGCTCTGATTCTTACTACTACGGATGTATGACTTATTGTATAGTTTTAACACAGTTGCTTTCTGAAAGCAACTGTGAATGTGTGAATTATTTGTATAGTTTTATTGTGTATATACACATGTATTATATAAATATGGTATCATAGTATATATTATATGGGGTTGGTCTTCCTTTTTTTTTTCTTGTTTTTTTGCTGTGGTGCTGTAGCTCAATCCTGAGATCTCTCTGCTACCAAGCTATAACCCCAGACATTTTATTTTATCTTAAAATTTGAAACAGGGTCTTATTAAAGTTACCCAGACTGGTCTGGAACTCAACTTGTGTAGCTCAGACAAGCCTTGAACTTGAGAACTCCCTGCCTCACTGGTCAGAGTAGCTAGGACTACAGAATTATTCATCCAGGCCCACTGAATCTCTTATTAATTACAAAAATATATTAGGACCTATTCACTGATTATCTTGTTAATTTAAAAAAAAAAGTAAGACCCATTAGCAAAAACTGTGGCCCACAACTGACCACAACTAACAGTCTCATAACACAAAGAGATGAACTGACAGACCACTCACCTGGTCAAATGTAATCTCCTGCATACCAGAAAAGAAATATTAGGACAATATAAGCAGACAGCTAAAATAAATTAGCTTCATTATAATAATCTTCTCTAACGATAACTTCCACAAGAATGAAATAAATGTTCAAAATAATTCTGTATAAAGCTAACATATGAGGGCTGGAGAGAAAGCTCAGTGGCAAAGAGTGAATACTGCTCTTCCAGGGGACCCTAACTAGATTCACAGTACTCATGTCAAATGGCTCACAACCACCTGTATGTAACTTTGCTCCAGAGCATCTTACATCTGGCCTCCACAGGCATTCACATCCATGTGTACATTCACAATCACATACATGTAATTAAAAATAAAATAAAGCCTTCTTAAAAATAGAAACTAACATGTGCCACAAAGCATCTTTTTTAAATTTTTTCTTTATTATTATTATTATAATTCATTCACTTTGTATCCTGACTGTAGCCCCTCCCTCACTTCCTCCCAGTTCCACCCTCCCTCCCTCTTTCCCTCCTAAGTCCTTCCCCTAGTCCACTGATAGGGGAGGTCAGACCTCCCCTACTATCTGACCCTAGCCTTATCAGGTCTCATCAAGACTGTCTGGATCCTCTTTCTCTGTGGCCTATTTAGGCCACCACACCAGGGGAAGGTGATCAAAGCGCCAGCCACTGAATTCATGTCAGAGACAGCACCTGCTCCCCTTACTAGAGAACCCACATGAAGACTGAGCTGCCATGGGTACATCCTTTGGTTGCTTCATCAGTCTCTGCAGGACCCCTGATCCAGATTTTTTGACTCTCTTGCTCTCCTTGTGGAGTTTCTGTCCCCTCCAGGTCTTTCTACCTCCCATCTTCCATAAGATTCCCTGCACTCTGCCCAAAGTTTGGCCATGGGTCTCAGCATTTGCTTCAATACCCTGATGGATAGAGTCCACAAAGCATCTTATAATAGATGTTTTGCTTCAGTTTTCCACAAAGCATAGCAAAAGTTTCTAGAGTGCAAATTTGAATAACTACACTTGACTTCCTTTTATTTTTTTTATTAAAAATGAAATTCCACTAAGCAATTTCTATACAGTGATACAGTGTTTGAAACAGCTTCCTTTTCTGATTCCTGTTAAAGCTTTACATTTTAAAATGTCTACAGGACATGTGCTTGCATGAGTATTGGGTATCACACTAACCACACACACGTGGTGACCTTAGCAGCTTTATTGCACAATGATCCAGGTAACACTGTACATTCTCTTTGTTTCCTATGTCATAAAGTGCTAGATATAAATGAAAGAGGAATGGCAATCCCAAACAGACATTCTCCAGATCTCTCTACACGAGTAGGTGTGTCTGTGTGCGTGTGTGTGTGTGTGTGTGTGTGTCAGTGCTGGAACTAATGCAGTGAATGGCCTAACAGCCTTCATTAAAAAATAATTCAGTAAAATAAACAGCTTCCAAAAATGTTGGTTACTCTACTAAAATATTAAGCTTCCATAAGAGATCAGTGCTAAAAACATGTAAGTCTTAGTATCTGGACATTTTAACTTTTTAAAAGGCAGTTTAAATAAAAATCAGCTACCTAAAAAGATAGATTTCAGTACCCAGAAGATAATCTTGCAGAAACATCCAATTTAGAAAAGGTGTAATTCTTCAAACTGACCATACACAATCCTTTTAATTTTAGCTACTCCTGTCTAAAGAATTTTGTCTCTTCCTGATGCACACTCCAAGTGCTTGACCACATAATGTGCCCACCTACAATGTCACCCAACTGGACAGTCGGGACATGTAGCATGTCTGGGATTTTGATGCTGCTAAACACGAATAGTGAACTTCTTAAATCTGTAAACCAAAGCCAGAAAACCCTGATGTGTAACATCTGTGCCCAAAACAGAAAAGTCCCACGACACAGGAAGACAGGTGTTCACTGTCAGTCTTAACTAGTATTCCTGAAAAATAATTCTTTGCTATAAATAGGAACGAACATTTTCTAAAGTAAGAAAAGTTGAAGATAAGATTTCCTGGAAAAAAAAATACATTGTAGTGAAAAGTTCCATGTGCTCAAGGACCTTGTATTTCTATAAGAGACCATACTCTCTACATACGCCAGATAATGAGCATTACGGCTAAGGACGCTCGTAGAGATGTCCTTATCAATACAGTCTGTGGTCTAAAAAAAATAATAATAACAAAAACAAAAAAGCAGTATTCATTTGCCAGGCAATGGATACATGCTCAGTAGTTACACACTTTAAAATGCATAATTTTCTACTTAAATATACTACCATTTTATGGCCTTTGTCATTTCACCTATCTATAACTTTATTTTACTATTAACAACAAATCCAAGACACGTGGCTTAGTACTAATTCCTATCAATAGGCATTTAAAAATATTTTCTCTTTGGAAATGAACATGATACAAAATGGGAAGAAAAGGAAAGAACAAACTCGGAGAAACCACAATAAATACTCTGTATCCCACCCCAACCCCACAACAAAAGGAATGTAAATAGTAGCAACATCAGCTGCCTTAAATCAATTAGAGTCCCTGTGCCCAAAGAGAAGGACTTTGATTGTAAAGTCATCTATCCAGGACCCGTTAGGACAGAATATCTCCACTCCTACCATCTGTAAAAGGCAGAACCCTGGCACGGAAAAGGCAAGGCTGTGAAGGCCTTGGGAGTTCTAGAAGCATGTACTAGCTGGGTAGGATGGTGCCCATCTATAATCCCAGCACCCAGGAGGACGGTGTTTGAGGCCAGCCTGGGCTACATCACAAGACCCTGTGAGTCAAAGTCAAACAAGACAAAACAAAACAGACAATCACACGCTACAAACAGGTGTGGTGACAGGAGATGTAAATGATATGTAATTAGTTTCGAAGTCTAACACCAAGGCAAGGCTTTGTTCACAGTTTTCATCCTCGTCACACGGGGTGTCCAAGCTACACATCCTCGTCATACTCTAGATACTTTGCCGTGATAGGTTCTTCGAGCTGAATTCCTCCGCTGCCCATTAAGGCAAATGCCGGATACATTGTATGTGAACAGTCCACCTGGCGCTCATACAGGCATTTCATATGATCCATATCATAAAAGCTCACTTTGCCTCTATCACAGTCAAGGAAAATCCCTATACTTGTTGGCATAGGAAAAACTCTATTTTCTGGTTCCTTAGAAGAAGTAGGTGACTTGGGAATAAAAAATTTCTTCATGCCTATAGTAACTAATGTAAAAGGTTGTGAAGAATCAAAACAGACGTCTTCACTTCCACTGTCATGCCCACTGTCTTGTTCATATCTGCAAAACAACAATAACACAGGGTCTTATCTCAACCACAGTCTCCAAGATTCTTCAGCATGGCCTCAAAAAATAACACACATTGTTTTAAACTTAGCATACAAAAAAAGTGGTGTATTAACACACCTAAATCATGGACTGTAAATTATCATTGAGAGTTGTCCTATGTACTCAGTGTCAAATTCCCTGTAGTACCATCCATTTTTACCTAAATGTATAGGCAAATGGAAACTTAGAAATTCATTTCTACAGAAAAAAAAAAAAATCAGAGGATGAGGAAGGGCTTAATGTGAGATTAAATATTTATGGCACACAATAGTGTGTCATAAAATACAAAGACCTATGCCCTCATCCATGGAACTAATAGGCTAAAGTAAATAACTAGGCACTAAAAAGAACACAAGATAAGAACATGCTTCATTCTCCTCTTGAGAGCCCTATTTCCTGATTGTGATTTCCACATCAAGAAACAATAATGAAATTGTTTTTCTCTCTGTGAAACATGAAAAGTTACAGAAAATTCTGATACCCAATCTTTCCATTCTTCACTATGTACAATTTGCCTTTTCATATATCGTGAATCATATGCATCAATAATTTTAAGCTGTTTATTTTTTGGCTTCTACTATTCCTCATGCTGTCAATTCTTATACGTCAACACCAATATTTTACCAAGGGCATATCATTATTTTACCATTGGTAAAACATTTACAATATTTACCATTGGGTATACCATTGCATTTAATTAGCCACTTACTTAAAATAGCTTATTACTCTGTCATTACTTATCTGTGCCCTATCATTCATTTTAATGTGTTAAATCCATTTAGATTATTTTTTCTAAGCAAGTCCATCTTATCCACATTTAAAAAAAAAAAAAAACTACACAGTTCCCATTATTCCCATTATCTTAAGAAATTTAACTGCTTCAGAAGATGTCTAACACAAAAATGACAGGCAAAAACATTAAAAAAAAAAAACAGCAAATAAAAGTAGGCAACAACCATGAAACAGGGAGCTGAGGGCATTTTACTGTATGGGTGATTTTTAACACACTTTAGGAACGATGGGAAACATTCAAAATTTAAGCTGTGAAGCTGTGTCATAATCAAGAGGAATTCAAAAGAGACTATCTTCCTCATAGCAGCAAAAATTAAAGGTTGATTATTCTGTGAATGAATACAAGACACTGTGACTCCTTACCTAAGACAGCTGCATGACAGAGCCAATCATCCGAATCTAAGAAACATGTGTTCCAAACATGATGAATGGGTCCCAGTCTGTGTTCGGGTGATCTTGTGCCGCACAGACACTTACTTCGAAAGCAGTTATCAAGTTCTCCATTGGGGAAAGAACCTACCTTGGACTAGCCGTGTCCCGGGGAGACCGCAGCCACTCTTGCAGTTTGTCACTGGAAGCAACTCCCACTTTCACCAGGTATGAATAAGGTTCCACACGGCAGGCCCAGAAGTGCTTCCCTTTCGTCATCCCGACATCTCCGATGATGTAATCTAAGCTTGTGTAGTAGCCCACTTGGATGCGTTCCGCAGCAAGAAGGACGTTAAATCCAGCTCTGCTCTCCACGCGGTCTCTTTTCAGGTTCAGCAGGAGGTGCTCATTATTATAGCCACACTTTTCATCGAACAGGAAACTGAAAACTGAAGGTAGGTTAAAATTACTATTAAAGTAATCCGAGAGACAACTTCTGGCATGTCTATAATTTAAAGCTGAATCTGATTTCAAATAGAAGTTAATGAAGAGACGGAAGGATGCCGTCATACTAAGCTAGACAGCTACATCAACCAAAACTCCAATGCAGCAGAAAATTCCAGATCTACACCTAAAGATCTTCAGAAATAGCCAAAGCAGAAGAAAATGTTCTACATGTTTGTGTACATTTGTGAGTTCATGAGCTTGGATCAGCAATGTTAATCACTGAACGTATAATGCACTAAGTCAATCACTCTTTTTAAAATATTCATTTTATTATTTTTAATTATAGGTGGGGTTATGTCACATGAGTGCAGGTACCCATGGAAGTCAGGACTTTTGGATCCCCAGGAGCTTACGCTAAAAGGTCGCATATATTTATATATATATTCCAAATTTTATAAATTTGAAGATTTGTAAGCATTTTCCCTTATCAAATCAATACAACAGATACGTGAAGATGGTACTGTCTAATATTTTCAGTTCAGAGAGGTTTGCATCCTTCTCAAACATTTAACAAAAGACTGGTCTAAACTCTAAAGTTCCTTGCTTACAGCATGGAGCTAACAACTATTTCAAGCATAACTTCTGTTGTTAGCCAATACAGACACAACAAAAATGTCCAGCAATAGGATAACGGATAAAGAAAATGTGGTAGATGCACAGTGGAGCTTTCCAGGCCTTGAAAACGGAAATCGTGACACACCCTACAACATGGACAACACAAAATACACTAGATGTAAAATGACAAATACTGAAAATTCTGCTCTTCTGAGGTACCCAGATAGTCAAATTCTCAGAAGGAAGGAATAGAGGCCACCAGAGTCTATGCAGAGAAGGCTGGAGAGGTGGTTATTAGATACAGATTTTCAGGTAAGATTTTTTAAAATCTAGATATGTGAGTGATGATAACTGCACAATACTATAATGTACTTTCTGTCACTAAACTGTGTACTTACAAGAGTAAGTCTTATCTGTATTATATGACATTTAAAAAAATAGCTGCCAGTCCCCATATAGGTAGATCCTTCTACTGGTGATGACTAACGTCCTGGGCATAGTTATTCTTGATTCTTTTCCATTTCCAGTATCTACTACATTGCATAGTAAATCTAAATGGCCCCACTATTTATATGGATTCTCTCAGAGAGGAAGATAAAATTCTTAGCATGCCCTCTCCTCCTCCCTATACAACTGCTACTAAAAACAGCAGCCTTGTCCAGAATTATGTTTCTGCTTTTAGAAACCAGAAATTTTAAAATAACATACAGCATTAAATGTCTACTGGGTACCTGAAAGTATACCCTGACTATTGGCTTTTAGTAAAACTCATGAGAAATAATTTCAGCCAACCCTATACAGCTGTGGTGGTTTGAACAGCTGCGGCCCCCATAGACTCATGTGTTTGAATGCTTGGCCCATAGGGACGGGTACTATTAGAACATGTGGCCTTGATGGAATAGGTGTGGTCTTGTGGAGGAAGTGTGTCACTGAGGAGGTGGGCTTTGAGGTCTTCTATATGCTCAAGCTATGTCCAGCATGGTACACAGTCTCTTCCTTGCTGCCTGCCAATCAAGATACAGAACTCCCTGCTGTTTCCAGCACCATGTCTGCCTGGATACTGCCATGCTTCCCACCATGATGATAAAGTACTAAACCTCTGACACTGTACGCCAGTCCCGATTAAAGTTGCAGTGTTCGTGGTGTCTCTTCACAGCAATGAAACTCAAGACAATTTCTATATTATAATATTCTTAACAGCCACAATATTCCTAAAAAGGATGTACACAAACACACATACATACATATGTGTACATAAGACACTAAAACAAGGATAGGGTCCATTGCCTAAACAAAACAAAACAAAACAAAACAAAAAAACAACTGAGTGTGTCCAAGGCAATGATGGGCAGGGCAAGATGCCCTCCCACTACCATGACCTGGAACAACTTTAGCTCTGAGTGTCCCCATCTGTGAAGACATTGCAGTAGACACCAGCTAACCTGCGTGCCCCTCGTAGCCAGCAAAGCTTTTCAGTCTCTCTTAATAAGTAATGCCAGTGTAACCTGGAAAGAGAGGCAGGGTAACACAGAATGAGGAGCTATTTGTGTAGAGGGGAAACTTGAAATGTGGCCCTAAAATATGCTTTCCACCCTCTGGTGCAGGGAATCACGCTGGGAGAGAAAACCTAGGCAGGCCAGGCTTAGATCACATCATGCCGATGAATTAAAAAAAACAAACAAAAAAAAAACCTATCAATAGCCTGCATTTTGGACATTGTCACTAACTGACCTTTAAAAAAGTCCCAGAACCATGCTATTGTTTTATGGTTTTGGCGTCTGCTTTGAGACAGAGCTCTTATGACTTAGCCCTTGGCTGGCCCAATACTCACTATGCACAAGGGGCTAGACTCAGACTCAGAGTTCTGCCTGCCTCTGCCTCCTAAGCACTGGAATTAAAGGCATTTTCCACCACAAGCCCATCCAGTCATGCGGTTTTAATGGTTTAAAAGCAGCATTAATGTCCTTTTGATCCCAACTTAGCCTCAATGATCAAAATGTCTCCTTTTTCATCTGATACCAATCAAAATCTCACACAGCCTGCGAGGTGATGACACTGGTCATTTCTAAATCCCAGCCAAGTCTGGGGTCTACTTGACTAAGAGTCTTTCAAACGCAGAAAGCTGTTTTCGATATGTCTACCTCTGGAGACACTGTTCGCACCTGCAGGCCCTTCCCACCCTCTCTTCTGAGCGCAGGGTGCCCAGTACCTGGAGCTGGAGGAGTGTGCAGAACCAGCTCTCTGCTGCAGGGGCTGCAGATGGAGCCCCTGTAGGCTCTCACTCGGAAGGCGTAGGCGCTGCTGCTTTCCAGGTTGGAGACAACTTTACTTGTGCCGTGCACTTCTATCTCGTTCCACGGCATCATCTGCTCGTCTCTGTTAACCTTCCGGTATTCGAGAACATAGCTGTCGGCTTTGTCCTTCTCTGCCTGGTGCCAGTTTATCAAGGCGTTATTATACACTTTACTCTGTTCCTCGTTGATCTCGGGAATGTCTATGCCTGAAAGAACGGCAAACACAGAACAGCATGCTAACTAACACGGCATTTCCCTCAGCCAAAAATGAAGTCCCGGCAGTTTCTACAGTGTCTAAGAAATTTCTAAATTTAGAATATTCTGCAGAAGTTAGTAAATATAAAAGAAGATAAATATGTAATTATAACTGAAGTGAGAAAATAAGTGAAAAAATAAAACATAAAAACTAAGCCGTGCTTACAGCAATTTTTTTTTAGAAAAAATAAAATTCAAAAAAAAAACTAAGCCGTGATTACAGCAATAATTATATATTAAATTCTAAAACACTGGAAATTCTATTTTTTTAAATATAGACTTTCCCCACAGTGAATCACAGCTCTGGAGCTGAAATTTGTATCTATATTTACATGGACCAATTTAATACTTAAAACATTGTTTTGTGACTTTCAACCAAACTCCAATGAGCGTTTTCTTTAATGTTTCCTAATGCAGATGGCAAAACTGAGTACTTTTTCCTCATACGGACTTGATAAAGCAGCTAGAGGGGTGGCTCAGATGCTGAGGTTGAGTCCCCGAGTCCATGTCTCCAGCACCCACAGAAAAGCCGGTAACAGTGGCACACTCCTCTGTAACGTCAGTTCTAGGGAGGCAGAAATATGTGGATCCCTGAAGCTCAGTGGCCAGCTACTCTAGGCCAAGTCAGTGAGTTCCAGGTCCATCAAGGAACAAATAACTGAGGAAGACACGTGTTACAATCCTCTGGTCTCTGGTCTACACACTCATACACACAAACACACACACTTTTTTATCACTTGTATTTTTTGATCTTTTTTAAAATTTTATTTTTTACAAGTTTATTCACTTTGTATCCAAGCTGTAGAAATCCAGAAACTTAAAAAAAGAAAACCCATGAAAATATTTTGGAATTTCCAAGGTATTAGCACTGTACCAAGCTCATATAAGACCCTGCCAATATTTTGCCATAATATATTCCACTGTATGGATCAATCAAGATTTACATATTAAGGGAAATAGGTTCCCAATATGTTGTTGAAAGTACAATGTTTACAGCCAACATGGTAGCTCACAGCTGTAATCTCTGTACTTGAGGGGCCAACCTGGGCTACAGAATGAGGTGCAGAACAGCAGCCAAGGCTGACCAATGTCACAGCTAAATCTTTATACACACACATTACCTTTTCCTATACAATAAACATGTAAGCTTGGATTAGATGGCTTATCAGTAAAGTCTAGAGGTTACCTTGTGCACTGGGCATGATGGCACATGCCTATAATCCCACCGCAGACCAGAGAAGAAATTCAAGGTCATCTTTGGATACATACTAGGTTTGAGTTCAGTCTGGATAAACTAAAAATACACAAACACGCGCCTCCACACACACCTACTGACATCAAGCCATAAGGGAAGAAATGAAATAAGGGAAGTGCCCCCACTTCTTTTCACTTGGCCCACAGACTCTTACAAGCAGCATATAAGGAAGTCTGGTGGTGCGTTAACATGCTGAAGACTATACACACAATAAATCTGAAAAAAAACCAACCAAAATTAAAGTTAAAAAAATTAAACAGGACTGAGTCACAGAGTAGCTCAAGTCACATGGTTATTCTACATAGGGGCATGTAGGGAAAATGAAATACATCCATGGGCAGGAAATGGGGGCTTCCCCTCTCTTTTCTCGGTCCTTTGCCATGTACTTTGACTAGCCCATGATTACCCACAGTCAGCTCTACCCTTCTAGGGGCAATGTTTGCACGCATAGGTAAAAGCTTCGACTTAAAAGTAAGCAAGTAAATATCTAAAAAGCAACTGACATATGCAGAACCAACAGTCTACGGAGTGAAATCAGCATTTGAAGTAACATACATGTACTGGGAAAAAAATTTCTAACTTCCTAATAAATACCAGATTTAAGAAGTTTAAGAAGAAAAGATGCCCCAGCAACCCAGTTTTTAACCTTTAACAAGACAAATCTCCTTTTTCAAAACAAGATCTTGTTAGGTATGTACATGTGGGTGTGATTTCAGATGCCCTGAGGGTCCAGAAGGTGCCAGCTCCCTTAGAGCTGATGTTATGGTGGTTGTGATCTGCCTAATGTGGGTTCTTGGAATCGAAATCTGGTCCTCATGAAGATCAGTCCCCGCTCTTAACCACTGAGCAACTCTCCAGCACTAGTCTTTGTTGCTACAACCTTACATGAAAGAAACCTCAGCAAGGCAAATGACGTAAGAACAGAAGGAAGCCCTTCTGTGAGGGGGTGGCCCCGTGAGTGTTCCCCTAAAAGTTTATTATGTTGAAGTCATAACTCTCCTGATTGTGACTGCAGTCCTCAAAAAGTTGACTGTATTTGGAGACTTGGTCTTTAGATCAAATTAGGCTGAGATCCTCACAGCAGGGCCCTAATCCAATATGAAATACTGAATATACCTTAAACCAGATCTCACATATCAACATCCTAAGCTTACAATTAAAAAAAAAAGTGTGATATCATTTACAAAATGTTTTAAAAAGCCAGGAGTATAGTTTTGTGCATGGAAACCAGTTTAAGGTTCCAGGGTTGATGATCATGAGAAACTGATATCACAGGGGAGGGAATGTGTATCTGCTTTGTGCACGCAGCTGAGGAGAAGGCTCAGCCTTCGCCACTTACCACTAGAGAAAAAGGATAATTCTCCGAGCACCTCTGTTTGTTTGGATGTGTTAACAACATAGTCTTCAAAAGAAGCCTGGGCTGCAGGTCTAAAGCTCTTCAGGGATTCCGTAGCTTTCTGTATTCTGTGGGCAGACATACGCCATGTAAAAGCCATTCTTTAAAAAGGCAGATCTCATGATTTGCAGGGCACAGTGACACACATTTGTAATCCCAGCACTCGGGAAGGCAGGGGCAGGTGGATCTCTGTGAGTTCCATGCCAGCCTGGTCTAAAAAGCATGTCCAGGACAGCCAAGGGTTTCTACACAGAGAAATCCTCTCTCTAGAAAACAAACAAAATAAAAACAAAACAAACAAACAAAACCAACAACAACAAAAAAGAGCAAGTCACACTGAACACCCACAATGTGACAGACCAAAGACACTGCATTCATCACTCAGGACACAGCAAGGTCCAGACTGCTCCTTCCACCACCAGGAACCACCCGGTCAAAGGTTTCAAAAGCTAAGGGGCAGAGTGAGTACCTGAGATGGAGCTGCTTCGCAGTCTGCACAAAACAGGACTGATCCGTCTCCTTCAGCACTTCCTGGGCGTATCCCACAAGCCCATTGTTCTCTAGAAGGCCCTGGTACTCTTCCACTTGAGTGTGAAATTTGTCTAGTCTTAGTTTCTTAGAGGCATCAATGGCTTTTAGAACAGATGACTTCCTGTCTTCTAAGATTTCAAAGAGCTTTTCGAAATGCGCCACCGCTTCTTCCTTTGCCCTCTCTCCATTGCACTAGTGTAAAACACACAAGTGTTACCTCATGTGCCAAACCCAATCTCTCCATTGTGCAAGTATAGGACGCAAGCACTATCTCATCCATAAACCTCGATCTCTCTGTTGCACTAGTGTAAAAAACGTGAGCATTACCCCATCCATCAAACCCAAAGGTCTTCTCACGACACCCTATGTAATATCAACAAAACAAGGCCTGACCCTAAAATCTTCAAAACAGTAGTTTGGCCTCAAGCACACAAGGAAGAAACCCCAGCTTCCATTTAGATTCGCTTTGTAATTTCAGAACTTTGCACTTTTAAAGTCCGGTAACAGACAAATTATTCAACTAAATGAGAAACAATTTTCAGGGATAAAATACATTAAGGGTGGAACTGAGCTGATCACAAATATTGCAAAAGTTAAATACAGCTTAGAACTTTCAGAAACAGCATCCTCAACATTCTATACGAAGGTATTTAAAATGAACTTTCTTTAATCCTTAACTCAGCAGTGTGCTTTAGGCTAAGGTGAAGCTGAGTGGGAGCGGGTTCGGTGCCTACCACTTTCCCTCTCCCACAAAATGCTTGTGGATAGTAGAAATTATTCAAGTTCTTATGAGGATGAATAAAGATTATTTACATGAAAAGCATGATACTGTGGCACGTATGATTCTTTTTCTGTTTTAGAAAACGGTCGTATCTGTCATGTGTCTTAAACATGGGGTCTCTTTACAGAGCCTGGACTGGCCTCAAGGTCAATCCTCCTGCCTCACCCTCCCTAGTGTGGGGGTTACAAGTCCAAGCCACTCTGCCTGGCTTCAAATGGTTTGAATTTTTATAAATCAGTGTGATCTTGAAAGAGCCCAGTGAGCACTGGGAGTGTTCATCACAGCAGATCCAACAGCAAAGGCTGAAGGAACTTTGGTAGGAACACTGCGGAATTCCCAGCAGCCTCTGCACCACATTGGAAAGGAATGTTGTTCAGATTCCCTTCTCCATTAGCAACCCCAACAGTCCCACTTTTTATTTGTGATGTGTTTTTTTTTTTTAAGTAACATATAAAGCAATGGGTCTTATTATAATATTCTTATGTTTAGCATTATACAAAAAAGTCAGAAAACAGTGAGATTTGGGTAGAATTTCATGATCTTCCACATTAAGCTCAGAAATATGCATAGGTAAAAACCATAACTGCAGATACAAAAACGGTCCCATCATCACTGAGGAAGAGTTGGCTCTGGAGACAAACATGGCATTAATTTGCTTTTTTTCCCCCTTTCTTTTCATTGTTTCTTCTACAGCGCAGGTGACTCCAACAGGCTCCAGACCAACATGTCTTGTACATGTGATACAAATTTTCTACTACTAAGACACATCTCAGCCCTTTCTTGTTTTGTAATTATTTCACTCCCCACTGTGAAAAATATTTCAAGAAATAACAGTCCTGGGTTATAAGCTTTAAAGTGACCAAGAGGGAAAAAAACAAAATAAACTCCACTCCTCATATCAAAGCCTATGAAAGACACTTGAACTTTCAAAAAGCCCAGCCCTATTCATATATGCTGTATTTTTAAACGCTACTACTTCTTATTAATTTTTTTGTTTTTATTTCTTTTTTACATGTTATTTACTGTGTGTATGTGTCTACCTGTCTGTCTGGGTACGTCAGAGGACAACACAAGCGAGTTGATTCTTCCCCTTGACCATGTAAGGCTCCAGAAATTACACTTAGGGTAAATCATGTTTGGCAGCAGCAAGTACCTTTACCTAACAGGCCATGTAGCCTGCCCCCATCCATTTTTAGACAGTCTTATACCGTCGTTTATTTTCTACATTGCCAAGGCTGGCCTTGACGTGCTAGGATTATAGGTATGAACCACCATGCCAGCTTACTTTCCCTATTTTAACTGAAGTAGAATACACAAAGGGAAAAAGATGTGCATGTACGTGTGAAGGCAAAGACTGTACACACACGCCCGGCCAGCAGGACATTCAGACAAGAGAACATTACCGGCATGTCAGAAATGGCCCTGGTAACCGCTGAAGCACTCATCACCCCTCCTCGGGGACAGGTTCGTGAGAGTCTAAAATCTGGTCTGACCGTTCAGCTGCTGCAAAGTTACGTGCTGCATAGGAAAGGCTTTTCTGCACATATGTCTGGAATATGTGATCCCTGGAACATGGTTGTGAACCACCATGTGGGTGTTGGAAATTGAGCCCAGGTCCTCTGGATGAGCAGCCAATGCTCTTGACCACTGCTAAAGCATCTCTCCAGCCTGGTCTGGATATTTTCTGCAAATGTCACACAGTATCATCCCATCCACACAATGTAGGACAGGATATACCTAGACTATGTATGATAGTATCTCCAATGGTCGTTATGCGATTTGTACTTCACTATTGATGGACATTTAGGTTGTTTCCACCTTGGGGCTACTGCAAACAAGGCAAACGTGAGTACTCATCTTTATGTGTATACGCAAACCAAAACACGTACTCAGCAGTACTTGGAATTTAGATAACCCTGCGCCTATCACATACAGTAATTTTTCAAAGGATATCTACTCATTTGTTCACATGCGGGTCACTGGTGAAAGCTATCCTTTCCCTATGCCTTCCTGGAGCACTGATCACACAGGAGCCTACTCTGCATGTGTTCCCACAAGCTCTCAGAAAGCCGAGGTATGAGGTCACACAGCTCTCAGCTCAAAAAACACACTCAGGATTTTATCTATGGGTTCTTCTTTTTTCTTTAAGATTTATTTATTTATTTCTACATACAGTATTCTGTCTGCCAGAGGGGGTACTACATTTCATTACAGATGGTTATGAGCCACCATGTGTTTGTTGGGAATTGGAACTCAAGACCTTTGGAAGAATAGCCAGTGCTCTTAACCTCTGAGCCATCTCTCCAGCCCCACACTCAGGATTTTATGAACAAGTAAGCAAATGTCTGGATGAAATGGATGAAAAAGTACTCTGACCAGTTTATAACTTACCTCTGTTTCTTTCATTAACAAGTTTAGTTCAGAAATTTGACTCTTCACCTGGCTTTCCTTACTAATAAGGAAATCAATGTCCTTTGAAAGTTTCTCCTGTGGAAACACACAGAACACAAATACAAAAACAAATCAACAAAGACTTAATGCAATTTTGCAAATTACATGGTACCCGTCCTTCCTGATAAAGGAACAGCAAAATCAGCTACAGTGATTAACTCAAGGTAAATATTTACTGGCCTTAGCACACAGGCTCAAGGTATAAAAGATTAAATGAAGGATGGAAAAAAGTAAGTGAAGCTTAGTCAAAAATTCCAAATATAGTAAATTTTTGTTGTTGAATTATCTCAGGATTCTTGTTTCAAAGGCTTCTAAGCAAATTGAAGGTCACAGTTCAAATAGCCTTCTGTTACATCTCACAATTTCCACAGAGACAGAGAGAGAGAGAGCAGGAAAAACAACATTAGTTCAAAATAATCCGAGTTCATCCCAGACTCACTATATTCATTCACTATATACAAGTGAAAATGTGGATTTTTTTAATAATTTGCTTGTAAATTAGCTATTCTGAACATTAGAATTTTTCATAGTATTACATTGTAGGTTTTGGTGAAATCTCTAGTTTGGTCTAATAAACATGTTCTGTAATAAATGCGTTTTAAAAAAGCAAAAGCCACTTGAGAGCACAATGGATAAATGTAAATGAAAATGAGAAAGCTCAGGAAACACCTCCCAGGGCGGAGATGATGAGACGTTCAGGAGACAGCGCTTTAGGATGTTTACTGCTGAACTATATAAAAGGTGGGCAAGAAGAAAAGCCAACCACTTGGTGTTTCAGAATTCAAGAAGTAAGTCTCCCATCTATTCCATCTTCCTCTTTTTTTTTTTAACCTTATAGTATGAGAAGGAAAGAGGATGTGTGCAGAAACAGACATGATTGGCTCTGCAGGACCTCTCTCAGTCTCCGAGGAACACCCAACAACCAAATACAGAGAAGCCCCCTGGGAGTGCTCACTGGATGAACAGGAAGTGGCTGACAAGAAAGGAACAAGATTTCTGGACACAAGAGACAGAATAGGCTGGGGTAGAGCATTTGCGCAGCACGTGCATAGCCCTAGCTTCACTCGCCAGTACACATATCCATCAAGCTGGGCATGGTTGTACAAGCCTGTAAATCCTTGAGAGAGACAGAGACAGAGAAAAGAAAATGGGACCTTACAGGATAATAATGCTACAGGAAATCTTGCCTTTTCACCTAGCATTTCACCACTACTAAAGTTCGTAAGTTCAGTTAGCTTCTCACAGTTAAGTAACACCACACTGCAAGCCAGATGTCAAGTCTAGCTTGTCCGTTATGAGCGCATGCATGAGCACAGGCATTGTTTTCTCTTAACTACAGTAACAGAGCTGCATCTGCCCCCGCGCTGTCTACGCTTTGTAGGTTCAACGTGGTTAGAAGTGGTGGTTGCTCCCTAACCCCAAACATCCACCAGGGTGACATCTGAGAGAAGGAAAGGAGGGACTAGGAGTTAGACTTCTGTAGGCAGACAGATAGGGGGAAAGGCAGTGGCTAGATAATAAATGTGGCACATCTTAAGATGGCCAGACTCTTCCTCAACCTTTTGACTTGAGACAAAAGCCTGGCAGTTTTGTCTCCCAACCAGCAGGACCTCTGCTATTGGACATACTCAACAAGTTCGAGACCAGATCAGGACTTGTCACACCACAACTGCTGACCAATCCTATCTGTCTGAAAACTGACCGGCCCTAATGTAGAGAGATAAAACTCTACAAAGGCTTTAAAATCCCCAGCCCTTGGAGAAGAGACTGGATTATTGAGGGGGAGGGTACTTTTCAAGTCCATCCCTCTGCCTAGCAGAGGGTCTTTTTCTCTGTGTCTTCTGTATGTGTGTTTCTTCACCCACCATAAACACCTTTCTTAACTGCTAAAAAATAAAATAGTGGTGCGAATCTGAGTCTCCTAAGGGCCTGCCATGCAGTTTCCTCCAAATTTAAATATTCTTTGTCTATCACAAAAAGGAACTTCTCAAGACTCATGAATTAGACCAACCTCGCAAGCCTCAGAAGGTTCCTGAAACTTACAAGATAAAGCAGGCCACCCTCCCCAAGGTTATACAAGCCATAACTCTCCCACCAGCCAAGCTGCCTGCAACCCCAACAAGGAACTCAGGGATACAACTGCGGTGGGCTTTTCAGTGACACAGCTGCCTGTGATCTGCCTATGCTTTCATAAGTAACCACAATAAAGTCATTAATTTACCAGTTGGGCTAGGCTTGATTATTCTATTTCATCATCAATTCAGTGACCTATTTGAGGTGAGAAGATGTTTGTTTATTGCATCGAGGAGAAAATAACTTAAGACAGTAGCATGATTATGTATCATTGTGGGTTCCTTTTCAAGTAGTAGCACACCTACACAGAAAGTATCACATACTTGTTCTTCTGACACTTTTGTTCTGAACAACTCTAGAGATGAAGCAAGGCTGACGCCACCTTTAAACTTGTACATTCTGAGCACAGGGGCCATGCTAGTTACATATTTTTCTCCTAGGCTGCTCACATAAAAGATACTTTGGCATTATTGTTGATTGACTTTTCCTTTGTTTACTAGTGTTACATTGGCACTTTTTTTTTTTTTTTTTAAATTAGGAATGTAATGTATAGAGGGAAAAAGTGGTTCTCAAACTTGGCTTAGTAAGTTTGAGAACAGCCTCTCACAGGACCTTTGGGACAAATACAAACGCTATGCTAAGTGCTTCCCTAGGCAGTAGGGACTGCTTACAGGGATGTCTGCATTTTCTACTTCTCTGAGTTCTCATCATCGAAGTGGTTTTGAGAAGAGCTAACAAAAAAAGAAGTAAGGCTCATCCGTCCTTGGAAACTTATAAAAACAATAAATGGGAAAGTATCAAAAATCCCTCAGGAAACACTCTTTGGTGAAATTATTACAAGCTTCTGCAAGTGTGGCTGTAGAGCAGGCAAGCTAAAGTAAGATGAGCCACAGCAAAAGCTTAAGGAGAAAACTGTGAGAAGCTGAGAAACCTAGAAAGGCCTTGCCTTCCCAACAATATAGAAACTTGTAGACTGAGGTATGGCCAGACCAGGAGAGAGACAGTGAATGTGTGTGCCTTTTCAGGATACACAAGAATCAACAAGCCTCTGAGGCCAAAATGGTAAGAGCCAGCAGTGAACAGGAATCCCTGTGGAGGCTCTTTCTCAGGTCCCCATTCTGAAAGGCTAAGGACAGGCAGCCATGTGGGGGTGAGAGGTTCTACTTTGACTCCATACATGTGTTTCCGTCAATAGTAACAGAAGCCAAGAGAGTCACAGGAGGAGAAATACCGTAGCCTCAGCTAACAGAACTGCTAGGAGTGGATCATTCTCTATTAGCTGGTTAAACCAGTTTCTCCAAAAGTGCAAGCAAAACACACCTTCACAAAGGAACTGACACATACTACAACACAGATAAGGAACGTGGTGTTTACCTCAGTAGATAACAAACAGTAGACACAAGACAAACGCAAGGTTACCCTTCTATGATGATTGTTTCTTTAATTCAATACCCAACTGGCCCAAAATAAATGATACTGTGTCTCTGCATTGTGCAGCAGCCCCCTTCAGCTTAACTCTAGAACCACTGTAAAGATGTGTTAACTTTTAGCAAATGACAAATCTATACAATTAGTTTCTTACTAAAAATTATGTAAAATTATGGAAGGTGTATTATGGAATATCTTTCTGAAAGACTGAAATATAAAAGTTAGCTCTGTTATGTACATGTTCTTCATCAAATTTCCTGACAAACCTCTCCTAAGGTCCTTGATTTCTAAAATGACGGGGTTTTTTGTAAGCTTACAATCCAAGAGGCATCTGGATTCAGGATAAAAGCTGGTCACCAAGAACATGGAGGCATGATGAGACAGCTAAAACTCAATCCTACCTCACAACAGAAGAGAAGCCCCAAAGTAGAGGTGACCTAATGACTTAATCAACTGTGCATATCAGTGAGGCTTCCATAAAAACTCAAAAGAGATTCAGAGTCTCCAGAGAGCAGAGCCTCGGAAGTTCGCCGAGAGTGCACAACAGGTGTGGCAGCCGTGTCCCTCCCACAGTCCTCATCCTGTGCATCTCTTCATCAGCAATATCCTCTATGAAATCCTGTATGATAATGGCTGTTTATGTTCCCCTGAGTTCTGTGAGCCTTCAAACAAAATAATTAGACTCAAGGAGGGTGAGTGACTGAAACTGCTTTTTACAGCCACGTGATCAAAGGCATTAAAACAAACAAAAACAAAGCAAAACAAAAAACAGTGCACGGCGTTTGCAGCTAGCAAAGATAGAGGGCAAGAGGCACAGACAGCCCTGGGGACTGAGCCCTTCTCCTGTGGCACCTGACAATACACCAGGTACAGTGTCAGAACTAAGTTGAATTAAAAGATTTCCCCAGCCAGCATTTGCAGCTATAGAACCCATTGCTTGCTGGCTGGCTTCATGTGAGGTCACAGAAGCCTTCTGCCAGGCGTGGTAGCACACATTTTTTAATCACAGCTTGGGAAGTTGAGGAGAAGTTATCAATGGCAAATCTGAGGCCAACCTGGTTTACACAACAAAAGACCCTAGGCTCAAAAAAAAAAAAAAAAAAAATGGTGGGTCAGGTCTGGGAGCAGAGGAGAAACATGGATAGTTTTTCCAACACTGTAGCTTTACTTACTAGTGTCAAGGACTTAGTACATGTAACTAAAACTGGGCCAGATTTCATGAAAGTAAACCAATTAGAAAGCAAACTTTTACAAATGTGATACATTATAAATTGTGCAGGTGTGAAGCCAACTGACTGTAGAGGCATGACAAAGTGACAAAAATGGATTTGGGCTTCTCAGTTGAAACAACTAAACACAGCATCTGGAATCTCTCTTCTTAAGCACCGGATCTCAAAGAGACATTTTCCTAGATGATGGAAAACAAGAAAATCCTGGCTCTCACAGCTTGCTGAGGCAAAGACCTCAATCACACAGCAGCATCTCCCGTGAGTGTACATAATGAAGTTGGGAGTTAAGGAAGCCAGCGTCTCTACAGTCTAAAACTAGAGACAAGCAGAGAAGGGAAAACCTGCAGAGAGGCATACGAGACTTGAATGCCAGTCTTTTCAGTTCCGGAAAAGATTAAAGTTCACACAAGCTGGAGTAGCACAGGCTCCCCACCATCCAGACGCCCCAACTCCAAGAAAAGAGAGCTTCTAAAAAATCAGGGATGGAGAAGAATCATCAAAGGGTTTTCCTCCAGTGTCAGGCTGACTAAGCTGAAAGTAAACACATGCTTCCCTGAACTGCCAGGCAAAGCTGCAAACAGGGTATAACTAATAACACCTGATAGCTAATCAAAACGCTCCAGCTGACTAGTTTCATGTCAACTTGGCACAAACTAGAGTCATCTAGGAAGAGGGAACCTCAGTTGAGAAAATGCCCCCCATCTTCTTGGTCTGTGAGCAATTTTCTTGATTGCTAATGATTGATGTGGGAGGGACCACCCTTGGGCAGGTGGGTCTGTGTGGTAAAAAAATAATAAATAATAAAATAAAATAAAATTAAATTAAATTAAAATAAAATTAAAATAAAATAAAATAAAATTAAAATAAAATAAAATAAAATAAAATAAAAAATAAAATAAAATAAATAAAATAAAATAAATAAAATAAAATAAAATAAAATAAAATAAAATAAAATAAAATAAAATAAAATAAAATAAAACCAACAGGCTGCGTAAGCCATGGAGAGCAAGCAAATATGCAGAGTCCCTCGGCTTCTGCTCCAGTGCCTGCCTCCAGGTTCCTCTCCGGCTTGAGTTCCTGGCCTGACTCCTTCTATGATGGACTGTTATCTAGAAGAATAAAATGAAATAAAAGCTTTCCTCCCCAAGTAGCATTTGGCCATGGTATTTTATCACAGCAATAGAAACCCTAACTAAGACACCAGGCAAACAAAGGAGCAGAGAAATAGAAGGTTCAACGGCCGAACCCGTCCACGACACAGACATATGACACTATGTATACAGCTATAGGTATAGGACGGTCTGCACACATACTGCTAAAGAAAGGGAAGAACTGAAATAAAAAGGAAGACTAAGAATGAACTAACTCCTTTAAAACTACTCTTCACAACAAAAAATAATGAAATAACAACCGGACCACACAACCGCCTACTCTGTTACCGATCATCAAACTTGAAAGTTTTCAGGAGCCTTCTACTTCTCCATCCAGAGGGCTCAGTAATGACCACTGACTGCCCTGGAGGATCCCAACCGTGTGCCCGACCCTCCTCCCTCACACTTCAAAACAAGTTGGGGACAGCTTTATCAGACTCAAAAAAAATTAATGTTATATTAGATAGTTTAAAATAATTTTTAATAATTACATTAGTAATAATCATAAAATTATTTGTTTATAATATATTTTATATGTACAATATTTTACTATATATTATATGTAATATATAAATCACATACTGCATGTATATCAATATATAAAGTAATTTTTAATTATTTAAATATTTAGGTATTTAATTATATAATACATGATATATTATAATTAAATACATTTATATCTTATAATTATATAAATATAAAATTATACATTTTAATAATTACATATTAAGTTTTACCTTATCCTGATAACTCCCCTTTCGGTGAAACACTGCACATTACAAACCATGATTTTCTAAATATAAACGTAAGGATCATGAAATCACCAGGTAGCAAAACCTACTTGCAGGGCTGGAGCCATGGCTCAGCAGTCCAGAGCACGGGCTGCTCTTCCGGGAGCCATGGGCTCGATTCCCAGCACCCAGAGTAAGGGTGACGACCCTTGGAACTCCAGTCCCAGGGATCCAGTGAGCTCCTCATACAACATGGTGCACAGGCATGCTTGCAGGAATTTTACCCAGACGTGTAGAACACAGTGAAAAGAAACTTGAACCCACTTGTAAAGTCACAAGCCTTACCTTTAAGGTTTTGTAGGCGCTGCTCATGGTGGTTACCCGGTGATTGGAATGATTCCCACCCAACTTGCAGAGGTGGCAGACGGGCCTTCTGCACAGCTCACAGTACATGTTTATCCTCTCTGTCTCGTGTTCTGGGCACATTAAAACCTATTGAATAAGAGCAAATGGACAGTTAAAGGTCTAGGTCTCAAGTAATCCAGCAAGTCCCCCAATACTGAGATTTGCTCTATAAAGTAAATAGCCATATAAATGAATAAAAGTATATACAACAAAAAATAACATGTCACATCAAAACTCTCTAGAAACACCATTTTTACATGTGAGGGTTCAAACGGTTAATACACAGATGTTATTTCCCCCAAACTTGTTGAAAACATTCATTCAAATAGGGCTCAAATAGAGTGAAGGCATAAACAAACTAGATTGGCCCTCTTACCACATGGATTAGGCACATCTTAATGACCATCCCTATATGGTATCAAAAGTCCTTAAGAGAACCTACGGCCTACCTCTTCACACAAGCCTGTTGCTAAGAGGGCCCTGGAAGGCTTTGTGACGTAAGCGTGCAGCAGGCTCACTCCACAAGCCACAGACACACTGCCCAGCGGCATCTCCTGACCAGAGGAAACATCACATCTGTACTTTATGAAATATCATCATAGATGCCTTTGGAATTGCACATAAAATAGTATTTCCATTCAGAAACAAGAATTTAGGTAGTGTGTGAATGAAATCAAATGGTTGTTCATGGTTTCAAAGAGACTAGACATTAGTCATATAACTGGGCTGTAATTATTCTTTACTGACTAAAGTTTTAGCTAACTAAAAGTATCACAAAAATACGACCAATCAAATCTTCCTGTCTCTAGACTCCTGGCAATTTCTCCCTTGACATTTGGTGCCCTAACTTACCTTGGGTCTGAAATGAGTGGTGGGGCCCACATACTCATGCTGGGCTTTTACGGTGCCCCAAGGATGGTAAATTTTGAAGCACTCATTGCAGTAGCTTGCACTGCAGTCCATGCAGCTCTTCGTAGATTCCTGGGGTGGTGGTTTACAGAGGTCACACATAATGGCTGTGGCGGCCCTGGCAGCCTGCCGGTATCGCTCGACAATTGTTTCCAAAGTGAAATTTCGAAACAGGCCACTGACTCCTCGCTCTCCAAGATCCACATCATGCTCACAGCCGGGACAAGGAAACGTCGTTGGTCTTGGGGTCAGTGAATTACGCTTCCAGCCTGTATAGTTATTAAGCCTCCCTTTAGTTATGTCATAAATGATTAATAGGAAGAAAAGTATGCTTTCGATTACGTCTCTAAAAACAAACATCCCAAGTGGCTCCATTTGCATTCTCAAAATGCTTTTCTAAACAAACATGTTTACTTGGTATATAGAAGACAATTCAAATTATTAAAAGATATCATAGAAAAAATAATCTATAATAAATTGCACGTAACTCACATTAAGCCAAACACAGACAGGAGAGACAAAACATAATACTTCATGGAGATTGTATTTTATATTATTAAGATTTCTAATTAATTTTATACAGCATACCCAAAGTCATCAAGTGAGAACCATCTTAGATGACTGGGAAGAAATGGGGGTACACAAGAAAGAGCAAGTCCCAGACCAAGGCCCCTGAATCAGCACACTTACTGCAATCCCAAAGACTATTTGAAACCGCAAACGTAGCCACCTACACATACTGTATGTGTATTTCTGGTTAGTCTGCACTTTCATCACATACTCAGAGAATAGGTGGTCACATGTTTTAAGAATCGTCTCACCAGAATGTTTCCCACTGTAGCAGTGTCTTATCCGGGAAAAATTCAGTGGGAGAGAGCAGAGGGTAACTGAATGCAACCAATAGGAGGGTGAATAACTCATTCGTAGGCCTAGAATTTAGTAACCTTAAGAGGGACCAACGAGTCAGTATCTTCTTGGGTTCTGAAACAAGGGATCACTAAGATTCCTTAATTCAATGCCAAGAATAAAATTACATATAATTTTGTATTATACAAAATAATAGATAGGCTCTCAACCGTTACGTTTTTGTTCGGTATTGTCGTCCTGATCTTACAAGCCAAGAAACCAAAGTATGGCAAACCTTACCTGCTGGTTTGGAGAATGCAAAGCTGTCTGTTTAACATAGGTCGATGCATACTTACTTAGAACATTCTTAGAGTACGAAATCTGAGTTGCCCACAAAAGAGCTTCCATACTACAAAAAAGCAACTTCTTACCCTCCAGCCTTCTTCCACACTACCATATCCAATACAAAAGTAAAGGGTAAATTCAATACACTCTACTTGGCAAAGGCCTTTAAGCAGCTACATCACCACTGCTCTTGAAATGACTGTCATCTAAAAAGAGTATCTTAAAAGGTGCCTGGTATGACATCACAGTAAGTAACACTTCACAGACAGCCCAAAGTATTATATAATTAATGACTACCTAGCATGCAAAGTGTCCCTGACTCCAAAAGCGGCTACTGTAACAAGCATGCACAGCATCTTTAATATCTCCACTTAATGACATTTTAGCCTTAACATTTTAGAACATGAATCATATTAAAAAATAAAAAACAAACTTCCCACACAAACTTGAAAATCCTACTCCAAATATATTCCCGTAGTAATTCTAAAAACATGCAATACAGTCCAAAATGTTTCACACCACAGCAGGCATATAATGAAACAAGCGCAAGGCTAATTTAAAAAACACACACACACACACACACACACACACATGCCAATGAAAATGTTTCCGTGAAAAAACAAGCCAAACAATTCTGAACGTCAAATAACGCAGTGGTCAAGTTTAAACAAATGAAAATTCACATTCAGTGACATCCTTCTACACATAAACTGGATTCTAGAAATTAAAATGAATGAGTAACTAATCTCAATAGCCCATATGGAAAACAATGGCCCATTATGTGTTTTATGAAGGTTGTGACCAATTAATTAGTGATATAAAACTAAATCATGAAAACTAAATCATGCTTTAACATGAATGCTGGTGACACCCAAATTTTGGTTGTTTTCATGTAATGTTAAAAAAAAAAAGTCAGGCATGGTGTTGCACACCTTTAATCCCAGCACTCAGGGAGGCAGAGGCAGGTGGATCTCTGTGAGTTGGAGGCCAGCCTGGCCTACAAAGGGAGTCCAGGACAGCCAAGGCTCTAAGAAACAGAGAAACTCTTGTCTAGGAAAATGAAAGAAAGGAAAAAAAATAAATAAATATCAAAAAAAAATTGTTCCATTCCTTTTCTGTGTACTTGTTATCTTATTTTTATGGTGAAAAATAAAGGATTTTATAAAACAATACACTGGACCTCTTCAATGGGGTAAAATGTTAAATTTCAGACCTGAGTAATTGCCAGGTAACTTACTCAAATCGGTATCCTAGCTGTTTTTTCTAAACAGATCCTCGTCTCCTTAAGAATGCTAACAAGCTTTCATTTCATCTGTCATATGCTTTTACCATTATCTTCATAAAATATTATATTATGAGAAATAAAGAAAGCATGACTACTCTAAGGATATCCTGAAAGTAAACCTCATTAAAAAAAAAAAAATCCCAACACTGCCTAAAAGGAAAACATAATAAAGTCAGCTCCCAACAGCTGTGTCATTCTAAAGGCCTGAAAGCCAAATGGCTGTTGAAATTTCAATTTAAATTTAAGATAATTACATTTTCACTTTTTTTTTTTTTTTTTTGGTTGCAATAGCTGTACTTCAAGTTCTCAAGAGTACTTGTGGCTACTGGATACCACAGCATATATCAAATGGTTAGAAATTTGTATTAGTGGAAGTTCTGTTTACATAGTATTTCTTTACAATGTGATACAATATGGGAGTAATGATGACTGGGAAGGCTAGGAAGTCATGAAGACCAAGCAGCAGCCACACAGTTGGTGGAACCAGCCTCTATAAATTACTTAAATACTCTCAACTCACACACATCTTCCCTTCAAAGGCACAGCAAGTGAACATCAAGACACGATTTTCAAATATTTAAAGTATTTTTCAAAGTGGTTTATGTCCACCAAAAGAGCCAGATTACAGTGTTTGATCATTCAACTATCGAGGAGAAAAATAAAGTGTTTAAAAACAAATGCAGGAGAACTGACTCTCAGCACAATCTGAACTGCTGCAGTTGCATCCTCCCCCAGAAAGTTGTTTCTGGTGGTAACAACTTCCTCTTCTTAAGGAAGTCCACTAGTTGGACTTTTCAGGGGGTGAGGGAAACAAGGAAAGGGGTAACATTTCTCTAACCAAAGATTATCACCAGAATCTGACCAAAAACCAGTCAATTTTACTTTAAAAAGTCTACTGGAATGGGATAAAAAAGACGAAAACCTGTGTACATCACCCTGAAATGGGTAAGACTCCGTGTTAAAACTCTGATGGCAAACACTTTAAAATACTGACAACAAAGAAAAGGCATTATATGCATAGAATATTCAAAGACTACGATAAATACAAGATTGACAGCTTCAAACAGAATTTTAATATTATTTAGTCTTCCCAATGTAACATGCTAAGTTTCATTATAATCTACATAAATGTAAAAAAAAAAAAAATCAGGTACCAGCTACTAAAAACCAAAATTGTGTTGTGTATATTATGGACAAAATGCGAGTATCACTCTGCCACCCATCCCTTAAAGACGTCAGAATTTCATCCTGTTGGCCTCTGCAGGTCACATGATCCCAATTTGTTGACTTTGTATGCAATTTTGAAGACTTGACCACTGGTGTTAGAGGAACTCTAGATACACAAGAGAATTCAAGTCTAACGCCACAGTGCCTGCGGCCCAAAAGCAGTAAAGCAGTTTTTTGTTTGTTTGTTTGTTTGTTCTACCTCTCCACCCCAAAGATCTCCGAGGTGGCGCTGTGAATGATGAACAGAAAGCTGGATTTAGAATTCCATTCCAAAGAGCACACTCACAGCTTGCTAACAAAAGACGAAGCAGTGACTATGTCCCACACAAAACACGATCATTGAATCAACAGTAAACGTGTGTATTTCCCTAACACACGGGTGTTTACAAGGCCAGCGACATAAAACAGTCAAGCGATTTTACAGAACAGGAAAATACAAAAGGGAAACGACTACACACATATGATCAGAAAGACAAAACATGACATCTTTTCTGTTTACACACCCGGATGTGTCATTGACATATATGCAAAACATTATTTTTTCAAAGAACCCATTTGTTAAAAAAAAAAAAAAAAAAGCCCACCAAATGTGTCTATGGCAATCTTATCCCAATGAAAGGATGAGCCACAGAACAACACATTTTTAAATTTTCTAGAAGCCACAATAAAAGTTAAGAACAAGTAAAATTAGTTCTAATATTATTTAATTAGTTCTAATACTATTTATTTACCACTATCTTTATAATAAAGATAAAAAGCATATCTCCATTTTTGTTATCATAAGCCTCTGAAATCTAGTAAGCATTTTACATGTATAGCAGAAAATATTATGTTTAATCAGAAGAGTCCTATACAGCTAGTATTTACTACACTGGACAGCCTAGGGTCTAATCCTTTAGTAAAACCAATGGTGAAACTGATTTTTATAAGTATATTCCTTCCACATCCATTGCTAGGAACAGGGATTCTGGCTTCCTTTTCAAGTGTGTCTTATTATTTCTGCCCATAAACAAAAGGTATTATTATATCTCCAAATCAGTGACACCTGGTCATTTAGAACTATTTACAGAAGACAGTCCTGAAATTTGTGATCACTGACTCACAAACAAAACCTCTGGAAATGATGCCATGTTTCAAACAGCCCCACCTTCCAAGGCTCTCCTCTCTCTCTCTCTCTCTCTCTCTCTCTCTCTCTCTCTCTAAAGATTTATTTTTATTTCTGTGTATGTGAGGAGGGTGCCCACCTATGGAGGCCAGAACAAGGTGCCAGATCCTCTGGAACCGAAGTTACAGGTGGTGGTTAGCCACCTGATGTGAAGCTAGGAACCATTCGGCAGCCATTCTTCTCCAAGTTAAACGCTTTTTAGCACCTCTAACTGTCCTTCACACACTTTCAGCTCCCTGCTGAGGACATGATCCACCTCACAGTGAGCTTACAGAATGGGGAGGGGACAAATTTTGGTCATTCAAGTCTAACCTAGACAGTGGAGTGAAAGCAAAGTTTAACCATATTACACGGCAGTGATGGCGGCCATGGTCTGTGTGACTCTAGTACCGAAAGGCTGTCATTCAACACCCATTCTACAATTACACCTTAATCATATACAGAGTACTATAGTAAGCCATTAAAAGCATGGATATATAGTTCTAGTTTCTTATGAACCACACATGAGAATCAGTCAAACACAGATACTAAAACACTACCTAGGACACAGAACTTTGTGAAAAACACTAATTGTCTGTGATGAATATCTTAATACACAAAAAGTAAATTTTCCTCCATCAGCCAAAAAGGGGATTACCAACTGGCCTGTGAAGACCCACCAACAGATTTATCCACCCAAATCAAGATTTATCTAATAAGGATGACTTCAAGTCACTACTATCTTTCTGTCTCTCAGGGTGGTGCCAGATTCATAGCAAAAAGGAAAACATAAAAGTCATGACCTCAAAATAAGCATAACCCTCCCTGTCCTCAAACTCTCACACACATACACACAACTTGCCCAGTCAGCTTCACTGGTATGCACCTATAATTTATATGCACAAACTATCTTATAAATAATTAATGACTGGAATTCAGAGAAAAGTGCTTGGAGCTGGAGAGATGATGGCCCAGCAGTTAAGAGTACTTATTGTTCTTGCAAAGGTACCAGGTTCGAGTCCCAGAACCTTACATGGCAGCTCACTACCATCTGTAACTCTAGTCCTAGGGGATGTAACACTTTCTTCTGACCTTCTCAGACACCAGGCACACCTGTACTTAACATACAGGCAAAACCCTCATACACATAAAACCAAGTAAACCATATATATATATATACATACACATATATATAGATAATATATATATTTAAAAAGCAGTATAGTGTGTATAACTCATGAAAATACTCTTATTTACTCTGGAGTAGATATATAGATAAAAACACTAAATGAAGAGACTCTACAGCATAAGGCAGGTCACAGAAAAAAAAAAACGATAATTTTTAAATGCAGCTTAGAAAAAGATGCTTTTCTGGAAAATAGAGGGAAAAAAATCACAAGATTAAAAAAGTGACCCCCATCCTAGAAGTGGGAGAAACTGAAGAGAGTAGAGAAAGGTTTGAAGATAAAACCCCCAAGCCCAAACTGCTCGGAGTGGAAGCTCTGAAGCTGAAATGTCTGGGCACTCACACATACACTCCTTAGCACAAAGGCCATGGTTAACATGAGGCTGTGGTCGCTACTGATTTTAAAAGAACTGTAGCAGATTCTGTAATTTTAAGTCAATTTTGATCCCCATCACCCCCGCAGAAACTGCTCAGAGGCAACATTATCTTGATAGAAAACAAGGTAAATGTTGGCCTGTGATATAGATACAAAATATATGTTATGTGTGGTTAGATATATTTCTATATATTACTGAAGAATTCTAGTTCCTGTGATAGTCAGGAACCCTTATTTTTGGGAGTGGGCAGGTTCTCGTGTATGCCAGGGTGGCCTTGACATCATAAATCCTCCTTCCTCTACCTCCACCAATCCCTGCCAAAACACTCATCTTAAAAAAGAATTTCAAGCGGATGAAGAAAATACAATTCCCAGGTAGAATGATACCACATAATTTGATCTAAAAGTTCTCTAAGAGTTGGAGAGATGGCTCAGGCGTTAAGAGCCCTGGCTGCTCTTCCAAAGAACCTGGGTTTGATTCAAGGCACCCACACAAGGGCTCACAACCAACTGTAACTCCAGTCCCAGGGGATGTGACACCATCTTCTGTCCTGAAAGGATACTGCAGGCACATGGTACAAAGACATAAACATTGAAACACACACAGAAAATAAAAATCAGTAAAATCTCAAAAACAATTTCTAGATGTAACCATTCGCAGTCCCAACCTTAATTCTGTAGTGTGTGTTTGCACATTAACTTTATAGATGCTTCCCTAAAAAGTTCAGTATCCACTATCATAAGGACATCACAGTTAGAATATTACCTAAAATAAAGACACAGTTAATAAGCAGTTTAGCACAAAGTTGGTATACAATATCAGTCTTAAGAGCCAATCAAAAAAAAAAAGTTCATTTTGACATTTTAAGTGGGAGCTACAATTATAATTTGTTCACTTGGAAAAATAAAATAAAAATCATTTTCTCCTCCACAGTTATAACGGAATCTCTATTTGCAAGCTGTCCCTGCCCCACCCAGCTTCCTCCCACATACCTGTTCTGTTAATTTTGTCGATCTTATCCATGCTAGGGGAGGTGAGCCGAAGTCTAGGACTGCTCTGATTAGAGTTGTCGGACGCCACATCAGTGAATGAATCATCGAGAGACAGTAAGAGTTCTTTCACACACTTATGACAGATGCTGTGCTGACAGGGGAGAATCAACGGGTGTGTAAACAGCTCCTTGCATGCCGGGCAAATAAGCTCCTTTTCGATATTCTTAATAGTCACCTTAAGATGAAAACCAAAAACCAGGGTCAAAACCTGTTGTGGGTAAAAATGTCAGCATGCTCGTTCATCCTGTGTATGTACATGTGTTTGCCTTTCCAAAAAAAGAAGAAACAGACCTTAAAATAGGAACTTTCCAGCCAGCAGTGGTAGAACACACCGTTATTCCCAGCACTCAGGAGGCAAAAGCAGGCGGACCTCTGCAAGTTCCAGGCCAGCCTAATCTACAAAGCTAGAACCAGGACAGCCAGGGCTACACAAAGAAACCCTGTTTAAAAACAAACAAAAAAAAAAAAAAAAAAAAAAAACTGAACTTCCCTGTAACTACGAAATTCTATACTACCAGATTCCCTTTAATATGCATGGCATGGAATTACATGTGTCTGCCTTTCCAAAAAGGAATTAAGAAACAGACTTTAGAATCTGAACTTCCCTATGAGTATGAAATTCTAGACCATGGCATGGAATTAAGAATTAATATGAGACAAAGAGGAAAATATAACAAAAGTTAATATAAAAATGTCAGAAGACCATATCCTATCGAAATCTACAGGCTGTCCAAATCATCAGGAACAAGTTAGCCCTTCAGTAAAAATTCTCAATGCAATAATTTTCAATTAAAAAAAACAGCTTCAGTATGACACTAAACATTCTTACTTAATGAATTAACTCCAAGATTTCCAAATAGCAAGAGCTGGTAAAAAATAAACATCCAGGCTAAGCCAGTGTGTTCAGGAAATCCTAACTGAATTCTATTTACAAGCTGAGTATCAACAATTTTCTACACTAAATTTGACCATTTTTCATGTTTTAGGAGAATGCTATTAAAATGCTTAAGGATCTATGTTCCATATCAAAGCAGTTATTAAAAAAGCACATGATGAATATTATAAGGATGGAGAAGACTAAAAAACACCATCCAAAGAGCTTCCTTCAAACTTATAGGCCTTCATTATTTCAAGTGAGAAACGCTTTAGAGTTACAACTAAAATGGTTTGATGACTTCATACAGTTTTTCCATCTTTCACCTCTACAGGTTTTGGGAGGAATGCAGGGAGGGGGTCCACTTAAGTTTCAAATTCTATAGATTGCTGTGGGCATCCCTGAAATTTTAATGGCAAGTGAATATTTTTTAAAAATCTCATTTTTATGCAATCACTTCCTCTGTAAATATATATATTTATATAAATATATATATACACATACATATACATATATATGTATATGTATGTGTATATATATGTATGTGTATATATATGTATATATGTGTGTGTATATATATATACAGAAATAGCTGGGCATGATGGTGCACACCTTTAATCCCAGCACTCAAGGAAGAAGAGGCAGGTGGATCACTCTGTGAGTTGAAGGCCAGCCTGGTCTACAAAGTGAGTCCAGGACAGCCAAGGTTACACAGAGAAACCCTGTCTTGGGAGTTGAGGGGAAGCCAAATATAAAAGAGTGAAAAGAAAGATACAGAAAAATTTGAAGGAGGGTTTTTGGTGGTTTTGGGGGGTTGTTTTGGTTGGTTGGGTTTTTTTTTCCCCTGTGTAGCCCTAGCTGTACTAGAACCAGGCTGGCCTCGAACTCGGAGACTCACCTGGCTCTGCTTCCCCAGTGCTGGGCTAAAAAGTACTCAGAAAGTAAAATTTAATTGGTTTTATTGAAATAAGTGTATGCTTATCTATTTCCCTGCCAGCGACACAAAGGGCTTTATAAACCTTGATAATCGCACCACACACAGCTGGCTTCACCACTGCTCGCAGATCTTTATTAGCGCAGTGTCTCTGGAGGAGTCACAACTGTTTAAAACGGCCCCTAACACGCTACAAGTTTAACGAACCTGGAAATAAGACGGTCACACCTACAATTCACACCGAAGACTGCTGGATATTCACATTTGATCTCACTTCACCCGCTATCACACTAATTTAAAGGGGGGTGGGGGACTATCCTGACTTTCCAAAATAGATTCTTGTCCTGTTTTACATATGCCCTTGATAAAGCGCCACCTCCTACAGACATATTTACAAATCATTTCCATTTTTCTTGCACCTAAATAATTTGATTGGACATTGAGTAACTCTTTCATAAAAGAAAAATTAGTCCTTTTTTTTTTTTTTTTTTTTTGGTCCTTTGAGCTAAAACCAGGAGCAATGTGATGTGATAGCTCGCTCAGGCAGCTGCAAAGAGATAGGTCAGGAAACTTCAGGAGACTTGCCTCCCCGACTTCTGCAAAAAAAAAAGGGGGGGTTGGGGGTGGGGGCTTGGACCTCACAACCACAGGGGCCCGGCCCCGCCCAACGAGCAGAAGACACGGCTCCCAGGAGGCGGCAGGCACAGCCGGGGCTCCGGAAGGACTCGAGCGCCCCTCAGGGCTCCAAACAAAGGGCGGCACGCTGGGGCACGCGCCCTACTCTCAAGCGCACAAGGCACCCCGAAGCGACTACTTCTACTGAACCCCACGGAAGAGCCCGCCAGGAGTCCCCAGCGTAGCCCGGTTCACAGTACCGGGACCCCGCGCTTCGCTCCCACCAACGGGACCCTCTCAAAGGCAGAAAAGGGAACCTCCGGACGGTGGGACCGGCCCGGAGAGAACCGAAGAGAGCAAACGGAGACACCGCGCCACCGCCACGCACCTTAGAGTCAGAGGCATCCCCCTCCATCGCAGCCCTCCGCCAGGTGTCATCAACCGCGGGGAGTCTCTACTGGCACGGCGGGGACCTGCAGTGTCTGGTGGGCGGGTCCCCGGCAGCCGGCCCGGGAGCCTCGGGTCAGACCGGAGGGCGAGCTGGTCAGCCAGATCCGGCCAGCCGACCTCGCGGCGAGGGTGGCCGGCGCAGGCGAAAGCACGGGCGCGGGAGAGTGCGGTTGCTCCCCACGAAGGCCCCGGGAGCCCCGATTCTCGCCCCGCTGCCGGCTGCGGCGGCGGCTCGCGCGGACTGCAGCTGGACCGGCCGCCAGGCGGAGACTGGGGCGGTGGCGCGGGGCGGGACCTGGAGGGGAGGGGTTATCGCCCCGGCAACGGCGCGGCCGCACAAAGGAGGCGGGGCTAATTGGGGTGTGGTCAATGATGGGCGGGGCTCTGGATGGGCGGGGTACTTGCAGGCAGCTGGCCCCTTCTCAGGCTCTCCGAAGAGAGCCTAAAGCCACCTCCAAGTTGGGGAGACCGCTCCGAGGTGCGTCCTGGCTCTGCAGTGCTTCGGTCCAGTTTACTTTTTCTGTGGACATTCGCAAAGTGCGCGCGGAGGCCCACAGACCAGCAACACTACCAGGTCCTGAACCGAACAGTGGGAATCAGAGCAAGTACGCCCAAGCGAGCACCCAGAGAGCTACCCCGAGGCCAGCGCGAGAATCCGCCCACTCCTGCCGTCACCCTTAGCCAGGCAGGCCTAGGCGAAGATCCCGGGTGGGTCCCCAAGTCTTCTCCACTCTTCTTGCTAGATTTGTTTTTTTCGTTGAGTCGCGTTCCTTGGTCACTGAGCACTTAAAATATGTTCGGTTTTCTGCTCAGCCAAGGCTTGGGTCTTCGGCTTTCTGCTCAACCAAAGCTTGGTTCCTCGCGCAACGCAGGAGCCCAGTGTCACGGAGACAGCCCGAGAGGCAGAGATTCCATCCCTGGGTGCTGGCCAAGCTTTGAAGTCAAGAGACTGCGGCAAAGCCCCCGCCCTAAAGCAGTCCACAGCCGCCCTGCGGTTTCGGGTCTGAAAACTAAGGACAGGCAGTCCAGAGATGCCGCCACGCATGCACCTGCCAAGGGTCCAGAAGGGCGTTTTTCATCTGCTTCCTGTGCACCAGCAGAACAAGGCAGCTTGCCACTGTTGGGGAACTAATTACTAGGTAATTAACGCCACTGTCTTTCTCCATGGCTTCATCTGTAGGTATCAGATTGAAAGAACCGGTGTCCTAACTCCTCAGTCAAGAGAGCTAGGGGCTGCACGCAGAGCGACATCTCCATTAGGTTTTGAAACCCGTCCTACTTTTAATTTCCTCTCTTAGAAGAAGGTTGTCTGTCTCCTGCGGCAAATTCCGCATCTTTTCACGGCTCTGACACCAGAGTTAACTTCCATGTCAACTCAGTAGTTAAATGACCATAGCGGCGTAGAATTGAAAACATCAAGGGACAATAGCCTCTAATGGAATACCTTCAATCTACAAATGAGAGACTAAGAGTGGGACTCATGCCTTGAGGGAGGATGGGGTGGAGGTTCCAAGCAGTTCCTATTTAGATAGGCGGCTCCACATACTAAACCCTGTAAGCTTCCTTGGATCTGGTGAATGTGTTCTAAGCTAAGGGGAAAAGAGGAGAGCAGCAAATGTCTGCATCCCACAACGCATGCCTAGTACATTTCTTTAAAGTCTCATCCTTCAAAACCTATTGTAAGCTTACTTGTGTTTCTAATGCTGGTCTTTATATTAAAGAATTCACATTTGCATGCCTCGATAGGCCTTTGGGCCAACACTTAACAGATGGTAGAGTTAAAGAAATAAAGAGGTTTCATTAGCACAAACTAGGGATAAAAGTTTTATAGACATTACCTAGACAAAAATAAATTTTAAGAGCCTTCCATTATATAAAGCAAACTTCACTGAGATATTTCACACCTGGCCTGCAAACTTTTGTTATACAGCTTGACAAAATGTGGGGTTCTAGGCACTTTCAAACATTTGTGGTGTGTGTGTGTGTGTGTGTGTGTGTGTGTGTGTATGTGTATGACAGTATGAATTGCTACAGTTTATTTGAAAGGAAACTTATCAATTCCTGTTTTTAAAATTGTAATACAATAAGCTTTGGGAGTGATTCATAGCTAAGAATGGTTCTACTTTTAATACTTGTATATACAAAACAATATAGAAATTGTATGTGTATTTATAGTGACTAAATACTTTCCATAATGTACATTTATGCTACAAAATACTTTGTGGCAGATCTACATGATGAGAAAGAATACCCAAACCAGGGAACATCGCAGAAGAGGGAACCAAGTGATGGGAGAGCGGGTGGTTGGTGAGGAGTGAAATGCAGTCTTGGGGACATGAGCTCACTGTAGCTATGGTTACCTCCACAAGATCAAGTCAACAAGATCAGTCAGCATTCCAACAGGCTACCTGGGACTCAGTGGGTCATTAACAAAAACTGAAGACACAGTAAGAGTAAGAGAGACACGTTAGTGGTGCCTGGGGAACGTGAGGGGTAAATGGGAGGAGCATATGGCAAGATGCACTGAATGTATGAAGTTATCAAAGAATAAATACAAACACTATTTAAATGTTAAAGATGTCTTAATTACAGTGGGTTTTCTTAAATTAAATCTGCCAAGCATTTGTAGTGAAGAATTTTTATCCTCAGCACTGTCTTACTACCACTCTGGGGTGTGTGTGTGTGTGTGTGTGTGTGTGTGTGTGTGTGTGTGTGCAGGCATATGTTTACATGGATAAATAATAAAAAATGAATATTTCTCTGGAATAGAGTACAAAAATAGCTAAAGAGGACTAATAGAATGTAGCCAAGTGTATAAGGGTTACTTTCCACTCACATTGTATTGCTTGCATTGTGTGTGTGTGTGTGTGTGTGTGTGTGTGTGTGTGTGTGTGCTTGCTTTAATCTTAAAACATTTTTGTGGAGAATCCTATTGATCAAGAAACCATTAAAAGCAGGAAGAGAGTGATGTTAACAGCAAGTCTGAAGTCTGATGCATAAACCATCAGCTTCCCACTTCCCTCAGCATCAGCATCCTCTTTGGATGCTAGGCTTCCATCGACTCCCCACTCTTGACACCCATAACTCCCAGACTCCCACTGGGCCCTCAGTTAAAATTTTGGGGTAGGTCTTGTTACTGCATTTGTGTGTTTGCTTTGAGACAGGCATGTTGCCACGGGTGATCTCAAACCAATGATCTTTCTGCCTCAGTGTACTGTAAACGTGTACTACCATGTCTGACTTGTGGTTTTGCTTGGGTTTTTTTTTTAAAGCCTTTTTACTTCTTTCTTTACCCAGATCATACTGTTTCTTTTCAGATTTTGTTCTTCTTCATCCTCGCAGTTAGTGCCAATGCCTAGCTAGGATGCCACTCAGCCTGCCTAACTTGCATGGGTAGTCTTCTAATTACAGTGGTTCTCAACCTGTGGGTCACGATTCCTTCAGGGTTAAGAGACCTTTTCACAGAGGTTAGTTAATGCCACCAGAAAACACAGATATTCATAATAGTAGCAGAATTATAATTATGAAGTAGCAATGAAAATAATTTTGTGAGCCGGGTGTGGTGGTACACACCTGTAATCCCAGCACTCAGGGAGGCAGAGGCAGGCAGATCTCTGTGAGTTTGAGGCCAGCCTGGTCCACAAAGCAAGTTCAGAACATCCAGGGCTATACAAAGAAACCCTGTCCCCGGGAGGGGCCTGTTTGGAGTCACCACAACATGGGGAAACTGTATTAAAGCGCTACAGCATTAGGAAGGTTAAGAACCACTGGTCTGACAGGTGTTTAAGAATGACTTGCTTGAGATAGACCCTGTTCTGGTAGCTCCGTTTGCATTGGGAGGTGAATAAGCTATGTGCTGCAACACAGCACCTTGTTCTTGGAACGTAACGGGGAGAAAAATGGATGTGCATAAGTGTGCTTCAGTGTGCATACGTGTGTTTCAGTGGGTGCGAGCTGGGAGGCAGGAGCTGGTGGAGAGGTGGTAAACTTGCAATGACACAGAATGAGTCTGACAGTACAGAGGGTTGGGAATACCAGGATTTCTGTATATGCTGGGAACTTTCTGAAGGATTTGAATAAAAAGTGTCATGGCAGGACTGGAGAGGTGGCTCAGTGGTTAAGAACACTGGTTGCTGTTCCCGGGAGGGAGGAGGGCGGGAGTGGACCAGGATTCCACTCCCAGCACCCACATGGTGGCTCATAACCATTTCTAACTCTAATGCCCTCTTCTCACCTCTGCAGGCATCAGGTACACACGTGATACACAGACATATATGGCAAACAAAAAGGTGTAAGGTTTTTTGTTTTGTTTTGTTTTTTTAATCATTACCCCATTTTGCATTTCGCTGCTCCTCGGTTTGGCATATCCTACCACTCCAATAGTTTCTGTTAAAATGTGAGGCAAAATGTAGCACATCTAGTCCTTTCCTGTCGTCTCCCTTAAACCTATGGACCTTCAGCATCCTTGGCACTCTCTCTGTCTCTGTCTCTCTCTCTCTCTGTGTCTGTCTCTCTCTGTGTCTTTGTTTCTCTCTGTGTCTCTGTGTCTTCTTTCGCTGTGTCTCTGTCTCTCTGCCTCTGCTTGTGTGTGCGTGCGCATGTTCAATAGTGAAGAAGATGAACCCAGAGCCTCACTAGGAAAGTGCTCTGTCAAAGTTGGATCTCCAGCCTACTTACTTGTTGTGTCACAGAGATTTGAGCTACATCACAAGTACTTAGTCCACGGAGTCCAAAAGGTTAACAACCCATTAGCACTACTCACTTCCCATGTTGACTCCTGGCTACTAGAAAAAGATTAAATTCCTGACTGGGTTGGGTCCTAGTGACTACAGTCCAGTTTTCAGTGAGTGCCCTGAAATACCAGGCTTTACCCCTGGTCTAAAGCAGATAGAGTACCATTCTGCTATTTCCTAAACAAAAAGTAAAAGCAAAGTGATATGACTTACAGACTACTAAATCATGATGAAGAGGAATCCCCACAATCATGCAGCATCCCCAGAGAAAGTGCAGACAGCTCCTAGACTTAAAGAAGCCAACAATGACCAGAAACCACAGGGTTATACAGTAGATTGACACCGTGCAATCCATATTGCCAGGTATCAGAAGTCCGAGGTGAAAGGCAGCAAACTGAACTACCATTTATATCCAAGCCTGGGATGGGGCATGTTATCCAGTCACAAACTGTTGCTATGGG